GCCCGTTTCTATGCCTTAAGAATGACGCGTTGAATACAACTGCAAATCATTTCAGGGACTGAGATTGGTCGGAGGAGGCTTTCTCTGAGTAATTGTTGGTCTCGGGAACTTTAGTAGTTTCTTTCATATTTCTTAAAGGGACACTTCAGGCCACCATAACACCTTTCTAGGAATGAAGTTGTTATGGTGACAAGGCATCCCATGGTGCCAGGTTATCTTAAGGGTAAACAGTTACTAAACGGTTTGACCACAAAGTCTTCAATTTGTCACCCGTTGGCACTGCCCTCAAATTTTAGTTTTAGTTCAAGGCTTCCTGGTTTTAAGATGATGTTCTCAGACTATAATTAGCTACCCGTGCACAAAAAATGCATACATATGTAAAATAAAAGCTGTGTTTGCATTTTTTCCATAATACATGATTCAGTGTTGTGTATAATGTTTGTGTATGTGTGTGTGTATATATATATATATATAAACTCTAGCTAACATTGTATTAGATTTTCAGGAAGTCCATACATATGTGGAAGCCTTCAGATTATTTAGTCAGATGACTTTTCGTTGGTGATTATTTTCAAAAGCCATACAGGGCAATATTTCCATGACACTTCCTCTCCATCTTGAAGCAAAGTGAAATCGTAGCCTGTCCGTACCTAAGGAGTCTCACTTTTTTTTTTGTACTTGTTCATACAGTGTAATTTATCATTAGATGTGGTGGCACTGTGCAGAGTAACCTCAGGACATTGAGCCAAGGTCAAAGATCTTCATAAGCACTGTGCACATAGGTAGCCATGTGTGGGCCTTCTTAGAGAAGCTGTCTTCGTGGGTGGGTCCTAACCCCTTTCAGGGCAGCCAGGCCATCACTCCCAATATTATAAATAATGTGTGCAGGTAGAAAGACAATGATAGACATTCTTTGTATTCTTTCCACCTGTATGGTCACTGCTTTCTGAATGAGCTCATTGAATTCAGCCCACTGCTGCGTGTTGTTAGTGACTCAGCAGCGCATGTACACGGAAAGGGAGAAATCCTATAGATGATTAAGGCTTGACAACGTGGCAGGTTTACGGTGCAGAGTTTGGCAAAAGATTTGTATTTTGAAAGAGTTACTCCAAGCAACATGACCATGAGTCTGTATGTTATATGGTGTTTAACCCCTCTGCTTCCAGTTTAACCACTCCACATTACAGTGTCATCAGCCATCTCAAAATAGTTTCACGCTGGCTAATGTCAATTCTGAGCAACTTTCAGCCAATGAATGACAATGGCTGCGTCTTCAGACTTCTGCAGCTCTATAGAAGCTAGAATCGCTTCACAGTATCACCAGGTAACTTTGGAACCTGGCAGAGACCCTGGTAAAGGGGGTAAACCATTGCTAAAAGGTCGAAATGTCAATTAGCTTCAACAACCTAAGTCTGTTTTCTCACTGATTACGAAGTATAACAGTATGGTGGAGGACTCCAGTCAAACAGCACAGTCAGTATTGCAAATAAGGAGACATACATACATTTAGTTTAATGGAAAAAAAGGCCTCTATATTCAAGCAACTAATAACCCAATTTGCATCAATGTGCATGCATCTTAAAAAAAGAATTAAGTTATTTATATTAATGATTTCAGTTTTCTTATATATAAATAGTTTCTTAAGATATAGCTAATGACATCATAATCCAGTTTAGACAAGGCAGAATTAAGGCAAACATTGCAAATGAAGAGAGACAATTAAAAACCTTATTTCACTTCTCTTCTGAGTGTTTTCTTTATGCCGACTGCCAGACTGACTGGGAACTAAGATGGAGGAACCCAGGTACAGGGTAAAAATGTGTTAACACTTACATTTAAAGGGATACTACAGTACTAGAAATACCAAGCTGTATTCCTAACTATAGCTCCCTCGCACCCCCTGCACTGTAAGGGTTACTAAACCCTTGCTGCGCTTACCTGATTCTAGCGCAGATCTCCCTTGCTGCATTAGACCCTCTCCATAGGAAAGCATTGCTGCAATGATTCCCTAGGGAGATTTTAGCGCCGTTGGATGTCCTCATACAAAGTTTGAGGATGTCCAGCGTCAGGCAACCAAAAGTCGCCTAACCAGCAGGAAGTGCCTCTAGTGGCTGTCTTGACCCTGCCAAGAAATTTTGCAGTTTATCAGAAACTGTAATAATTACCATTGCAGTGTTAAAGGGACAGGGACACTGCACCCAGACCACTTGAATGAGATGAAGTGGTCTGGGTTCCTACAGTGTCCCTTTTGGTTGTATTTTTCCCACTTCACATTTACATGCTTGTCCAATATAGGTAGGAGTAAACATAATATTAAAATGACAAATTTAACACAATTTCCGGGTTAATAAAAGACCATGTAATGTTTCAACATACAAACATTTTATAGGAAAAATAAACCATTTATACCCCAATCCCAAATTAAAAACACATGCATTTCATATATTTAGAGGGGGAATGAGAGAGAAAGTTACTTAAAATATAATAATAATAATAAAAAAAAAAAGGTTAGTACAGTGGTTTTGGTTTATAGATCATGCCCCTGCATTTTAACTGCTCGATTCTCTGCCAATTAAGAGTTAAGTCACTTTCTGTACCCCTAGTCATGTTACCTCCCTGCATGTGACCTACATACTCTCCCTACTGTCCTGTAAAGAGACATCTAATGTTTAAATTGTATTTATTGCACAGCCTGTTTAATTTAGAATTTCTTTTTTCTTGTTCAATGCAGCATTGAGAGATTTTTCAGTGTATATGTCACCATGAAGTGAATATAGTTGTATTAGACTCATTTTCAACTAACTGGATTCTCCAAAATGAAACTTTAAAGCATTGTAGTTGTTATAGTGCCAGGAGTGTACCCCCTCCACTATGTAAGTAGTTCAACCGTGTTAGACTTATCTGAGGTCCGCCAGGCTTAGCCCTCCTTTTCCACTACAGCCTACAGAGAGATGTCAATTATCTGAGTTAATGGACACTATAGGCATCAAAACGACTTTAGCTTAAAGGACCAATATAGGCACCCAGACTACTTCAGCTTAATGAAGTGGTCTGGGTGCCAGGTCCAGCTAGGGTTAACCCCTTTTTTTTTTTTTTTAAAACATAGCAGTTTCAGAGAAACTGCTATGTTTATAATAGGGTTAATCCAGCCTCTAGTGGCTGTCTCATTGGCAGCCGCTAGAGGGCTTCCGCACTTCTCACTGTGAAAATCACAGTGAGAAGACGCCAGCGTCCCTAGGAAAGCATTGAGAATGCTTTCCTATGAACTGGCTGAATGCGCGCGCAGCTCCTGCCGTGCATGCGCATTCAGCCGAAGAGGAGGAGGAGAGCTCCTCACCCGGCGCTGGAGAAAGAGGTAAGTTTAACCCCTTCCTCTCAATCCAGGAGGGGGTCCCTGAGGGTGGGGGCACTATAGTGCCAGGAAAACGAGTATGTTTTCCTGGCACTATAGTGGTCCTTTAAGGAAGTTTTGGTTTATAGATTATGCCCCTGCAGTCTCACTGCTCAATTCTCTGCCATTTAGTTGTTCTAACACTTTGTTTATGCAGGATTAGTCCCACCTTCCTGCATGTAACTTGCACAGTTTTCCTACACACTTTTTGAAAAAGAACCTAGATATTCTTTATTGCGCAGTCTGGTCAATCAAGAATTTCTTACCTCCTGCTCTGGTAATAGCCTTCTAGAGCCTCCTGAGTGTGATTAAAGTTCAATTTACAGAGCAGGAGAGAAAAATAACAAGTTACTTTTTGAATGAAAATGAAACCATTTCTTTTCATGCAGACTGTGTGAGTCACAGCCAGGGGAGGTGTGGCTAGGGCTGCATAAACAGAAACAAAAGTGAATTAACTCCTAAATGGCAGATAATTAATCAGTGAGACTAAAGTGGCATGATCGATACACCCAAACTGCTTCAATAAAGGGACACTATCGTCACCATGACCACTACAACATAATGTGTGTGTATATAGCGTGTCCGTGCAGGCTCATCAATGAAAATGCTGCCTTTTCATGGGAAAGACAGTGTTTACATTGCTACCAAATATTGTCTCTTGTGGCAGTCACTCAGATTCAGTGCATCCCTATTAGGAGATGCTGAATGGCGTTTTCTGCGCATGCGCAATAGCCTCCCAATGCTTTCCTATGGGAAAACATTAGATTGGCTGACGTCATCAAGATTGATTATCTCAGCCATAGAGGCGTAGCAAGATGAAGGATAAAAATGTTTAAAAGCCTTTTTACTCCATTTTGGGGGAGAAGGAGGGGGTCAAACATACATAATCGCTGATTATCTATATCAGAGGCATTCGATGTTATACCTAATTTGGTATAAAAACATCTCATTTTCCCACTATGTTCACCAGCTCCTAAGCAGAAGCTTCCAGGTGTTAGCTGTTGTGAAAGTAGTGAACATTATCCACTGGACCTCCGGTAAAAAGTCAAACAATTCTAAAATGTTTTTACTACTTAAAATGGGCCAGGGCACTCCTGTCTCCACAACCACTACAGCGCTCTGTGGTGGTTCTTGTGTTGGAGTGTTCCTATGACAAAAATTTAATTATCTTTAATTTTCACAGAGTAGTCTCACAGACACAATACTGTTTAGTTTACAATGTCACAATAATTGCAATTTCTCCCAGCAGTGGACAGGCTGTAGATTTCGATTTATCAGATTGTTTGAGAGTATTCCTCTACCACACTAATGCAGCTAAAACACTTTAACAGTGATGTTTTTATCTGGTAATCTTACTTCTGAAAACAGGAGTGCATTTATTTTGGATGAGGGTATGTTTGAAACTAGCAGAAAGCTAAGTATTCCTTTCCTAGCTAAATACTTTGATGATATTTTTATAATATTATATTTGTTTTGTATAATAGTAATAATGTAAAAAAAACACATCTTTTTCAAGTTTGCATTATTAGTATAGTTGTGCACCTCCCTATATGTAGGTTTTATTTTTATTTACATGGTATCTGTTTTTTTTGTAGGTGCCTAATGTGGAATGAACGTTCCATGTGTCGTAGGCATGAATGAAGTGCCCTGGCAGGAGCCCAGAGGAATGATGCATGCAAGCGGTGGGCAGGAATCCCTTGGGGTTGGAGTAGGGATTGCCCCACTTGGTGGAGCAGCATCAGGGCCACATAATCTACATGCCATGCCCCCCGGTGCTTCCAGTGCCCAGATGCCTCTGAGTGGCCGCTCTCAGGATGATGCCACAGTGGGATATTTCTTCCAAAGACAAGCGGGTGAACAGCTGAATGGCTACTCCAATAAACACCGCTGGCCTACAGGAGATAGCATAGATGCAGCGGTATGTAGCTCTCTATGGTTTGAAGTTCTTTTTGTAATTTCGTTGTTTCTTTTGGACATGGCAAATCTATTGTTTTGTATTTTCTTTTATCTCAGTTCTTATGAGCTATGTACCCAGACACTGCATTGTCTTCATGTTCCTCTAGAGTGTCTTTGTTTTGCCCCACAGCATATTTTCCATTCATTATTACAGAGAGGGGAACAAGTAACCTTTTCCCCTGCCTTTATGTTGGCAAAGCATCATAGGAATTTACGTTTTTCAAAGCTAGTGTACTATCTTTTGGGAACCCCTACATTAGACAAAAAAAAAAAAGGAATCATGGATTTTGACAGTTGGTAAACCTAATTGTTTAATTTAGTGTGCATTTGCATTGGTTTTTTTTTCTTCGCCTCCTGCTTGTAAAATTGTCTTTTCTTTTAGTCTCTTCCACCTCTACTGGTGAGCCTGTCCATGCATCACTATAAAGATAGTACACTGGTTAAATATCAGCAGTTTAAGGGTTACTATAGGCATCAAAACAACTTTAGCTTTATGAAGCAGTTTTGGTGTATAGGTCATGTCCCTGCAGTCTCGCTGCACTATTATTTGTCATTTAGTAATTAAATTACTTTGGTAATACAGCCCTAGTCAGCCCTAGTCACACCTCCATGCATGTGACTTGCACAGCCTTCCTAAACACTTCCTGAAATGGAACCTAGACTTTCTAGGTACCTTTATTGTACAATATGTTTAATTTAGAATTTATCTCCTCTCCTTTTAATAGCCTGCAGGAGTCTCCTGTGTGTGATTAAATTTCAATTTTCAGAACAGGAGATAAAAACTTCAAAAGCAAGTTAACATCTGATTGAACATGAAACCATTTTGAAGGTTTGGTTAGGACAGCGTAAACAGAAACAAACATGATTTAACAGGACATTCCACTGCCCAAAAACAAAATAAATAAAAATCACCATTTAGTACATATACCCTCAATGTAAACCTGCATGCATTTAATAATGCGTTTTTCATTGGAGTTATATCTAAAATAAGCTTGCTAAACCTGCAGTTCTCTTAAGAAGTCTTTGTAAGTCAGGTGCTCTGAGCAATTGCTCTCTCTTGAGGTCAGCTGCATTGAGCTAACAAAACCAGGAAGTAACATTACCTGGTGTCTGCTTGAAAGCCAAGGGGGTGTAACCAGATTAATTTATAAAAGTGTAAATTCCTATTGAAATCTGAACTTATTGCAAAATGAAAAAAAGAGGACAAACTATTCACACTCAAAGCTTTTCAACAAGCTAAAGTTGTTTAGGGGTCTGAAGTGACCCTTTTACTCCTAAATGGCAGAGAATTGAGCAGTGAGACTGCACTGGCATGATCTATACACCAAAACTACTTCTATTTCTTTAAGGTTAACAGTGTGGAAATGGAGTCAATCAAAATATAATAGAGGTGAAGCTTTGTCAAATTTCCCCCCTTATATAATGTATTGATTTTGTGTTTGGCAATTCTAATTACTGAAATCAAATAAGAAAATCTAAATTAACGAACAATGTAATGTGCTTCCTCCACTCGCCTATCTTTCTTACTGTAACATGTATAAATTAGAAATTTACAGCCATCACAATTTTTTTTTTTACTTTGAGAAAAATGACATAAAGTACTATTCATTCTTTAATATCTTAGCTGCCGTTAATCTTTCTGGTATACTGGATTTCAGGTTATGTAATGCCCTTTGACTTGGCATAAAGCAGACTGCTTATCATCGCTGTTGTACACATGTTGTTTCGTGATGCTTCATGTTCCCTCCCTTGTTTGCACTGCTGCTCTGTTATCACAAGGACTGCTGTTAAAGGAACTCTCCAAGCTGAAAGTTTTATGTGTGTATATGATGTGTGAATGTTAGATTGCAGTTAAATAAAAAATGGGACACTGGCCCAAAAAAAATCATCATCTCATCCCTGGATGTTCTCTCTCCGTTCCTTTTACTCACATCTATAGGCGGGTTAGCTGTAAAAACTGGATTTAGAATTGTGAAAAGTGTTTGTTTACCATTGCAACTGAAATGCTGATTCTGATAAATCTTCCCCTGAACAAGTGCACATATCTACTAAACAGTTTGTTTCTAGACTGATGTGCATATACAGCACTGAGTTATGAAAGAATTGACATTTTGACTTTCTCCTCATTTCCCATAAACAGAGCTGGAGGAGAAGTTCCCATGAAAATGAGTGGGCACTTTTTTCCACAGTTATAGTCATCACTGTTATAAAAAAATATCAATAGATAAACTTTTTTTGAGTCTTGTTAATGGAGCATGCAAAACAATATAACCCCTCCTCCGCTGCAGTGGTTATGGTGCTAGAAGTGCCGTGGCACTGTCCCACTGTATTTCGTCAATCTGTTGTACAACTTTCCTGGGTGCCAAAGGTAATGCATATATGATCCGGGCTTAAATTTTTCACGAGCCAAATGAAAATGTAGCTCTGGCGAGCCATGTTATGGCTTGCATTGACGAGTAATTTTGAAGGCCTAAGAAACAGCAAAATAACTTTTTTTTTTTTTTTTTTCTTCTTCTAAGGCACACTTTGAGGTGGAGTTGAACTTTGTTTATTATGGTGATTGGAATGTCCCTTTAAACATTATTTATCAGTTACTTGGAGTTTCCCTTTGGGATAGGGTTTATTTGTTACTTTTTAGAATGTGAAAGTACTTTCCATGGGGTACATTCAGGATAACTAGATATTACATTTGCTATATTTATGAATGACAAATCATAGAAGAATTTGGCAGAAAGTTATAGGTATTCAAAATCTAGAATCATTCTGGTAAGAAGCACTACAGGTATTTGTGAGTTACATTTTTATCTTTATATCTAGCCTCTTTTAGCACCTAAAGGTGGCTTCAATGTTTTTATTCATTTGTGTAATTTCCAGAGAAGTAACAGTTCCTCTTTAAGGGGCCTTACTGCTGTAAGAGAACAAAGAGGGATCCTAAGCTCTGCCACACCTATCTTTCTTAGAAGAGACTGAGAATTTTCTGTGTCTGCCCTCCTAAACAAAAAAAGACAGAATTCCTACATGGTCCATTTGTGTGTGTTCTTGACAGACGTGGTTAATGTGTTTTGTTAACAGTTTTTACCGGTCCAGCAATTCCCTTTGTTTTACTTGTACAATCTATAAGCAGCAAGTAGTTTGATCCCTTTATGAGGAAGCAATAATCTTTGCTTTCTGATAACACTAGCCCACGTCAAGAATAAAATTAAAAATGGGAAGCAGCTGTGCATTACGTGTCGACACGCCGTTCATAGACCTGCGTGCTCTGTGCAAGCTGTAACTAGCACCAAAATAAAAAGATGATGCTCCACATTGATTGTGCCTTTTGACTTTTATGTTTAATTACTGAAGACTTTTGTGTGAGAAAAACAATCGTCGGTAGTGCTAATCAATCATTAAGTACATGTCTTCACATGTAGGCTGCAATATTGTTTGACATTGGTTCTCTGCACTATTAGGAATGACCTCTTTTTTTTTTTTTTAAGATTTTTCTGGTTTCATCCCAATTTTGTAAAAGTAGATTTGGAAATTATAAGAATAAATGTTCTACATGCAACTATGTAGAAGTGAGCAAGATTTTAAATTTGCTTTTACCATATATACTAGTCTATAAGTAGAGTGCAGTTTTTTGACCAACAATTGTGAAATATGCTACGACTCGTGGATAAGTCAAAGGTACTGCATTCAAATGGAATTGTTCCCCTTCTGTTCGGTTACCGTACTGCATTTGAATGGAGTTGTTCTCCTTCCAAACAGACTCTGTGTGGTCCTCCTTGTTAACGCCTCGTTATCACTGACCACCCCTGGCTGTTAACCACAAACAAACATTTCCTGGGTGGCCATCATTCGTATATACGAACGCATGTGTTCAAACAATCTTGTCTCCCGAACGCAGACAGCGGTACATGGTTGTCGACAGTATGGATCTCTGAGTTGGATTCGCAAGCCCGCAAACCCCGCTGAAACTTGTACCACTGCCCGTTCGACTTCCCGAACAGCTAGGAGAACGGTGTTCAGGAGTCGAAATTCTATCGAAACTATCAGTGACCCGTGGCTATGTCAACTCTGCGTTTTAAAACGAAGTTTATGACTAAAATTTCTCGACTTATACATGAGTATATGCGGTAGGTTTTGGTACCGTTAATAACAAAAAAAAGTGATCTAACTAAACTGTCCTAACACGCTCAAGTTTCAGACTTAAGTGGAACTTTCTCAAATCTTAAAGTGGCTAAACTGTGTGTAGTATATAAAGCATAAAACAGGATGCAGTCATTTGAAGAGTAACAGGAAATGTAAAAATATGTTGATTTACAACAGCTAAAGAAATGGTACAGCATGTGAATCATGCGAAAGATGAAAGTTTTATTTAATTATAGATAATGTGTTAAAACATACAAACAAACCTACAACCACATAATTTACATGTAGATTTTGTTATTTTTTTAATAGGAATGGTCAGATGTCCAATGACCTAAAAAATGTGTTTAAAGCAAGCATGTCAAACTCGAAGTCTGGCACAGGCCGCATAAAAAAAAAATACCTTACATTTTCATAGAAACGTAGGGTTATTTTAAAAAGTACAGTATAAAATAACCCCCAGCACCCCCTCTACCACCCTGTGCCAAATCTGATCCTCCCGCTGACACAGACATATTCACTGACAGACAGAAACACACATACAGACACACTGACACACACATACTCACTGACAGACACACACACACACACATACTCACTGACAGACACCCACATACTTGCTGACATACACATACACACTCACAGACAGACAGACACACACATACACATACATACATACATACATACAGACACACAGACAGACACACACACATACTCACTGATAGACAGACACACTCACAGACAGACTTCCACCGTCCCTTCCTCCCCAGCCGGGTAAGTGTTAGTTAGCAGAGTAGGCACCTGCAATGTGGGGTAAGCACTATTCTCTGCACTATTAGGAATTACTCTAATGACTATTAGGAATGACTCTGCTTGGAACATTAGGCATGTACTCGCGGCTCGCCAGGCCGCAAAGATGGTCCTTGTGGGCCGTGAGTTTGACATGCTTGGTTTAGGAATACTATAGCGTTAAGAACACAAACAAGTATTGATAATTCAATCGTTTTAATCTACCCTCTTTGTGAGGGTTTGCAAGGCGTGTGGTTATCACAATGCCGCTCCACCTCCACCAGTGGGGAAACATTGGAAGGCAAGTGCTCATGCCTGCAGACCATCTGATTGAATAGTCGAGTTTAACTCAGTTATTGGGGCAGAAGCAGGGCCGGACTGGGGATACAAAGCAGCCCTGGAAAATAAATCTATGTCAGCCCCATAAGTCATTGCACCATATATTGCCATATGTAATATGTAAGGCAATGTCTTGCCACCCCAGATGGTTGAGTGATATATATATATACTTATTGCTTTTTCTAATATATAATATTGGTCCTTTCAGAGTAAAATGTTTAATTATACATTAAGCATACTCACATGCAGTGTTTACATTGCTTCCTAGTGACACCTCTAGTGACAGTCACTAGAGGTGCTTCTTGTGTCAGTGCTGCACAGTGCGATTGCACAGTGTGCAGCACCTACATTCAGGGCCTTTGCAGCCAATCCTATGGCAGAGCATTGGATTGGCTCAGATCATCAAGCTTGATGATCTCACCCAAAGAGGCAGGGCCAGTCGAGGGGAGACAAGCACGGCGTGGGGAGAAATAAAAAAGGTGAGTAAAAACACTTTTTAAATACACACAGACACACACATACACCATGACACAGACACACACTGACAGAATTACACATATTACCTGTGGGTGACCGGCTGTGTGGGCTAGTGGCCGCTGGGGGAGGTCTGCTGGCGGAGGTCTGCTAGCGGCCGCTGGGGGAGCTGTCTCTGTCTCTGCTCCCCCTCCCTCGCGCACAGCTTAATGAGACCGGGGCCGAAATATGATGTCATATTCCAGCCCCAGTCTCATTAAGCTGCGCGCTGGGGAGCAGAGACCGAGACAGCTCCCCTAGCGGCCGCCAGCAGACCTCCCCCAGCCAGCGGCCGCCAGCAGACCCAGGTGTCTGCCTGGCGCCAGGTGCCGACAGCCCACCAGGAAATTTCCCGGTATCAAAGAGCGATCACATGGCCCCTATAGCTGGCTGTGGATCTGCCTGCAGGGGGACTGTTTGAGCTGTCACAGTCCCCCTGCTGGTGGAAAGTGTAAAAAAAAATATTAATTAAACATGTTAAAATAAAATGTATGTGTGTGTGTGTGTGTGTGTGTGTGTGTGTGTGTGTGTGTGTGTGTATGTGTGTATATATATATATATATATATATATGTGTGTAACGTCATATGTATTTTAATGTTAATATAAGCACATATTAGTATTAAAATACACTTAGACTGACGGTCCATATGTAATTTCATGTATTTTGTTAATCTATATATTAACAAAATACATATCTGTCTATATATAAAATACAAATAACCGCAAATATATTTATATAGATAAATATATATAAATGATTACATAATTATACACGTAGAATCTAAATACATATATATGTATATATATTCTACGTGTATATGTAGATAATCTTTTAGTGCAATTATGTGATTTTATTAATTAAAATTAGATTGACATGCCTGACAACCCAGGCAGAAAGTGCAGAGAATTTAATTTAATTCGCAAGCACTATATTTAACCCTGTAACTTTCCAAGACACCATAAAACCTGTACACAGGGGGTACAGTTTTACTCGGGAGACTTCACTGAACACAAATATTAGTGTTTCAAAATGATAAATTGTATTACAACGATGATATTTTCAGTAAAAGTGAAGTTTTTTGCATTTTTCATACACGAACATCACTTTTACTGACGATATTATTGTTGTAATATGTTTTAGTGTTTTGAAACACTTATGTTTGTGTTCAGTGAAGTCTCCCAAGTATACCAGTACCCCCTATGTACAGGTTTTATGGTGTTTTGGAAAGTTAGAGAGTCAAATATATGTCTTGCATTTCATTTTTTTCACATTGAAATTGGCCAGTTTGATGTTGCTTTTGAAACTGTATGGTAGCCCAGGAATGAGAATTACCCCCATGATTGCATACCATTTGCAAAAGTAGACAACCCAAGGTATTTCAAATGAAGTATGTCCAGTCATTTTTAATAGCAACTTAATCACAAACAGTGGCCAAATATTAGTTTTATATTAGTTTTTTGCTTTTTTCACACAAAAAGAAATATGAATGCTTACTTTGGCCAGTGTTTGTGACTGTGGCTACTGAAAAAAGACTGGACATATACCCCACTTGCAATACCTTGTGATGTGTATTTTTGCAAATGGTATGCCATCATGGGGGTAATTCTCATTCCTGGGCTACCACATGGTCTCAAAGGTAACATTACTAATATGGCAAATTTTAATGTGGAAGAAAATTAAAAATGGATTGTGCTATATTTGACCCTGTGACTTTCCAAAACACTGTAAAATCTGTTAATGGGGGTACTGTTTTACTCGTGAGACTTTGCTCAATACAAATATGTGCATTTTATTGCAGTAAAAGCAAACCGTATCATGACATTTACAGCTAAAATGTCAGGCAGAACTACAATTTTATTTTATTTTTTTTTATTTTTTTTAATCTTAATTTCTCATTTTTTTAAAATTTATTCATAATAGTTATGTTTCATATATGAATAGTTCATGAGAAGTTAAAGGCCTGTTTCTTCTGAATAAAATGATATATAATAAGTGTGGCCGCACTTAATATGAAAGAGGTGAATTATGGTTGAACAGACATATAGTGCAAATTCCAGTTTTTGTTTACGTTTTGTTTTGATCAGAACGTATACTATTGACTCTGTTCTGAAGGGGTTAAAAAGACAGGGGAATGGAACTCAGATCACTTCATCTCAGTGAAGCGGTGTGGGTGCCTAAAGAGTCCATTTAGAGGACCACTCTAGGCACCCAGACCACTTCAGCTTAATGAAGTGATCTGGGTGCCAGGTCCCTCTAGGATCAACACTTTTTTTTTTTTTTTATAAACATAGTCTCATTGACAGCCGCTAGAGGCGTTTGCATGCTTCTCACCCTTGAAAATCACAGTGAGAAGACGCAAGCGTCCATAGGCAAGCATTATGAATGCTTTCCTATGAGACAGGCTGAATGCGCGCGCAGCTCCTGCCGTGTATGCGCATTCAGCCGAAGAGGAGGAGAGCTCCCCGCCCGGCACTGGAAAAAAAGGTAGGATTTAACCCTTTCCTCGCCATCGAGCCCGGCGGGAGTGGGACCCTGAGGGTGGGGGCACCCTCGGGGCACTATAGTGCCAGGAAAACGAGTATGTTTTCCTGGCACTATAGTGGTCCTTTAACTTTCATCAACAGCAGTTTGAAGCCATGTTCTGTCTAAGGCAGCACAGGTCCATTGTGTTTGCTAGTAAACACAATTGATTTGTTCCCATTCCCACGTGTTTTAGTATCTCTACTCTTTCAGGATTTTACAAAAATAATACATGAAATCTCATGTGTTTAGCTAGGACAGTGATTGCAGAGAGGTAGGATCCCTGGATATTGGGCAGTTGGCCAATTATTCAACATATCACGAAAGAAACAAATATGAAATTTTAATTATGTATAATACAAACATGAAACTATGCATCTGTTTATCTGGGTCAGTTGTTTGTTGTTGTTTTTTGGTCCAGTTGCATAGATGAGTTTGTTTGCAAATTAATTTTCATTCATTCCAGGTGATATTTAAAGGGTTGCTCAAACCTCCATCACCATTTCTGCTTGAACGCTGCCTGTACAGAGCGTCTGCACGTTTGTGCCATGGTCTAGTTGAATTCTGGCACACATGACTAAGGCAACCCAGAACAGCCTAATGTTAATTCTGTGCAAAGTCAATATTTTACAGGTTTTTCAATAAAAATAATGCGTTGGGGGCTGCGAGTTCCTAGTGACTAGTGCACTATATGCCATTATAAATATGACATAAAATAAGATGTAATGGAAAAAAAGGTTTATGTGAAAGTTATTGAGGTACACAATTGTTTAGGGTTTGACTGGGTTTTTTAAGGATGGGCGAGAGCTTTTTTTCCCCTCCTTGAGTAGAAAAATGAAGTTTCTAAAACCTAATCTCTTGATTTTTTTCTTAATTCCAGGTGAGGCCCGCAGATGAGATGAATAATGATTTCCAGGCACTCGCATTAGAACATCGTGGAATGGGGGAGGTCAGTCATTTACTGCTCTTGATTCAATCTCAACTCCATCAAGATACTTTTTTGTTTTGGGGCTAATCTTACACGTCTATTCATATTGTTAGCTCAAGGCATACTCAAAAGAACTTTGTATATTTTGTGTTTCCGCTGTTTGCTGTAGACATTGGTCAGAATATCACAGTAGAAAAGCTTTTGTTTTTTATCAATTGAAAAGGTCACAGACAAGTTTTATTCACCACTGTCAAAAGCGATCATTAGTTTAACAGATTCTTTCTATAGTTTTTAGTAGGGATCGACCGATATTGATTTTTTAGAGCCGATACCGATACCGATATTCTGTGAACTTTCAGGCCGATAGCCGATATAATTTGCCGATATTCTGTACATTTACCATTTTGGAAAATAAAAACTATTTCTAAAGGTAAATGCACAAAATATACATGCAACGTGCAGTGGATGCAGTGTGACAGGGGAGCTGTGTGTGTTTGTGTAGTGTGTGTGTAGTGGATGCAGTGTGTGTTTGTGTAGTGTGTGTGTTGTGGATGCAGTGTGTAGTGTGTGTGGAGGATGCAATGTGTGTTTGTGTAGTGGATGCAGTGTGTATTTGTCTAGTGTGTGTAGTGGATGCAGTGTGTATTAGTGTAGTGTGTGTATATAATGAAAGCAGAGTGTTTGTGTAGTGTGTGGGTAGTGTGCGTAAAGTGAATGCTGTATATACTAAATGCAAAGTGTGTGTGTATATAATGAATGCAGAATGTGTGTGTATTTGTGTAGTGTGTGTATAGTGAATGTAGTGTGTTTATATAATGCAGAGTGTGTGTATATAATGCAGTGTGTTTGTGTAGTGTGCATTATATAAACACACTACACAAACACTGCATTATATAAACACTACACAAACACACACACTGCATTATATACACACTACACAAACACACACTGCACAAACACACTACACAAACACACACTGCATTATATAAACACACTACACAAACACACACTGCATTATATAAACACACTACACAAACACACACTGCATTATACACACACTATAAAAACACACACACTGCATTAGATACACACACACTGAATTATATACACACACTACACAAACACACACTGCATTATATAAACACACTACACAAACACACACTGCATTATACACACACACTATACAAACACACACTCTGCATTATATACACACACACTATACAAACACACTGAATTATATACACACACTATACAAACACACACTGCATTATATAAACACACTACACAAACACACACTGCATTATACACACACACTATACAAACACACACACTGCATTATATACACACACACTATACAAACACACTGAATTATATACACACTATACAAACACACACTGCATTATATACACACACTACACAAACACAGACTGCATTATACACACACTGCATTATATACACACACACACTATACAAACACACTGAATTATATACACACACACTATACAAACACACACTGCATTATATAAACACACTACACAAACACACACTGCATTATACACACACACTATACAAACACACACTGCATTATACACACACACTGCATTATACACACACACTATACAAACACACACACTGCATTATATACACACTGAATTATATACACACACTATACAAACACACACTGCACTATATAAACACACTACACAAACACTGCATTATATACACAGTGTGTTTGTATAGTGTGTGTATATAATGCAGTGTATTTGTGTACATTGTATACAAACACACACACTATACAAACACACACTGCATTATATACACACTGTGTTTGTGTAGTGTATGTGTATATAATGCAGTGTGTGAGGGGGCATTTTTTATTAAATTATTTAAAAAAAAATAAAAATGTATAATTCTTATTTATTTTTGTTGTCCCCCCTCCCTGCTTGTTACCTGGCCAGGGAGGGGGGATATGACCGTCCCTGGTGGTATTGGCTGAGCTGGGGGGGCGGAGAGCAAGCGCTTACTCACCTCCCAGCAGCTCCTCCAGCTCCCCAATGCAACTCTCGCGGCCAGCGTGTCGCGCGGAGCGTTGCCATGGTGATCCATGGCAACGCTCGGAAGGCCGCGGGTATCGCGAGAGTTGCACTGGGGAGCTGGAGGAGCTGCTGGGAGGTGAGTAAGCGCTTGCTCTCCGCCCCCCCAGGACCGCCGGGTTTGTAATGAGCCCGGCGGTCCTAGGAGGTATTATCGGCAATATCGGTATCTGAATTGGCCGATACCGATATTGCCGAGAATACCGAATATCGGCCGATTATATCGGTAAAACCGATAATCGGTCGAACCCTAGTTTTTAGTTGTTTTGTTTGTTTTAATTTTGTGGCCAGTATTCGGTTCCCTGTTCTATGTAAACTACTGCACAATGACATGTTTTGCTCACACTTTCTACTTTTAAGATCTTGGCAGCTTATACGTGTTAAATATTGTTTGTTACCACTGTCATAGGTTTGAGTTTAGGGTTTTCAGCAAGGCTCTGAACTCCATTTGTTTTATTTATTTATTTTTGTTATTAAAACTTAAAAGTACATGTTTAGAATATATTCAGTAGATGATACGAACATAATTAGTGTTCTTTGAATTATTGGAATGAACCAAGAATTGGATCACATCCAGGATTGCCCCAAACATGGCAGGTAGATTAATAGAGTATATTAGCGATGGGGTTAATTTCCATGGAGGGAGGGGTCATTGGATCCCTGAAATGGTATACTACAAACACCATAACAAACATAACTTATTAAACAGTTTTATTGCTAGGATGCTATCCGTGCAAACATACCTTTCAAATATTTTATTACTTTTTTTTTACTTGATTACTTGGAGAGAAAAAAAAACCTTACGTTGACTCTTTAGCTTGATCTATCTAGTCCAAAATCAGATCTACCTTTGAGTTTACGGACTGGTACCTTACCAGAGTGATAGCAGACCAACCCATTATAGTGTAAACAAATCAACTCCTTAAAGGACCACTAAGGTGCCAGGAAAACATACTCGTTTTCCTGGCTCTGTAGGGTCCTTGGGTTCCCCTCACCCGCCGGCTCTAGGGTGAGGAAGGGGTTAGTCCCTTACCTTTTTTCAAGCGCCGGACTCCCTCGGCGCTGGGGACTCTCCTCCTCCTTTCCCCGTCATCGGCTGAATGTGCATGCGCGGCAAGAGCCACGCGCGCATTCAGCCAGTCTCATAGGAAAGCATTCTCACTGCTTTCCTATGGACTCTGGCGTCTTCTCTCTGTGAAAATCACAGTGAGATGCGCGGAAGCGCCTCTAGCGGCTGTGAATGAGACAGCCACTAGAGGCTGGATTAACCCATATGTAAACACAGCAGTTTCTCTGAAACTGCTATGTTTACAACAGAAAGGGTTAATCCTAGATGGACCTGGCACCCAGACCACTTCATTAAGCTGAAGTGGTCTGGGTGCCTATAGCGGTCCTTTAAAAATTGGCTGGTTGCCTCCCCTTTGTGCTGCTACAGTTTCATATATGTTGGATGACTACGTTGTCGTCTCGTGAACTAATTTTCATATGCCCACCCAGAATCCCCTGCAGTAGTGTAACATCACTGCTAAGCAGAGATTTGTGTGGGAAAAGCAAGTCTTATGGCTTGATCGGTGTGCAGATGTGTGTTAAACAGTGCATTTACTAATATATATATATGTGTGTGTGTATGTGTATACAGTGCATTTACTAATATATGTGTGTGTATATATATATATATATATATATATATATATATTAATATATAATATATATATAATATATAATATATATTTTTTTTGACAATTCTGATCGACTTACATTAATAAGAGTCTGAAACTAACAAACTCAAACTCTCTGGTCGCTTAATTCAACCCCATTTACTGACATTATATGGAAAAACATGGCTTTGCCAGTGGTCTGAGCTGCACAGGGAGCTTATTTATCCCTTCCATGGTTGGCGGTTAGAGCGTTTCTTACACATGGACTTCGTGAAGGCTTTACATGAAATTAACAAAGGATCTGAAATCACCCAAGAGGGAACATTGAACAACCCTGAGTTAAAGTACTAGAAATGGTTGACTTGACTGTGCCCAGCCATGTTCCATGTACCCAGCTATTACCAGAACGCTTGACATGAGCAGGGACATTTTACCATAGAACTGTGGATGGATGCACTCTGGACACTTTTTTTTTTTTTTTTTTTTAACCTCCAACCACTTTTTTGTTTGATTTTTCTTTTTACGGTTCTACTTGTGAAACCACCTATTGTAAAATAAGTGTAGCAAAGTGAACTTTACGTAGAATATCTTGCCCTCCTTTTCCAGTTTTGTTTCTATATTTGATAGTTTTCTTAAATTAGGCTTTTTAAGACAATATTTAGCCCATATTTTATGTCTCTTCTGTGTAAGTAAAATTGCTTTGTTGTTCTTCTCAAACAGCTTTTACCAGCCAAAAAATTTTGGGAACCAGACGATTCTGCAAAAGATGGACAGAAAGGGATGTTCCTTGCTGACGAATGGAGAGAAAACACATGGGGAGCATCACGTAAGTAACGTAACGATATATGTATTATATTACATTTATGTTATGTAAGTAGATCCAGTACTTATACAATTGGATCTACTGAATAATTAAAGTTTCTATGGAATCAGGAAATCCTATGTTCTGCGCTTCCTGGGTGTACGTGTCCGATTGTGTACATGTGCAGGCTTCCAATGAATCTGTGTTGACTCTTATGAACTTGTGAGAGTCAACACAGAGGATCCATGATGCTCTACTCCCGGGAAGACTTGTGGTGCTTGACGGAGGTAAATATTGAACAAGATATCTAATGACAAAGAATGTGGAGCTTAAGTAAAGCTCTAACTTTGCTCTCCTCCAGGTTGTACATAATTAAATTAATATCTATTTATGTATAACTTTGCAAATAAGGTCATTTAAAAAAAACAGCGCAACCTGGTGGGGGAATATGGGGCATACCAATATATATTTTTTAATTTATTTTTTTAAAGTGACAAAGCTGCTCTAATAAACAAGATAAGCTAGATAAATAGTAAAGTAGTACTAGAGTACTTCATAGATTAGAAGTAGAATATACAATAGATTAGAACTAGAAGAGCAGGTTAAAACCCGAAGAATAGCTCACAGAAAAGACCTACAAGAATGAAATCTAATGTATGTAATACACTTGGTAACTAAGATAATATCTTTCATTCTATCCCGAACATGGTCTGTGCCCTCATACAGGAAATACACACAGACAAACGAAAGTCACATTTAAGTATAATCTATATGCTTGCTTTGTATTTAACTAGCACAATGTACAGATTACAAGTCTAGATTAACGCCAACACTATCTTGTTTTTAGACGTTGGAGTCCCTTTGAAGTTATACTAACTTTTTCAATAGCACCCCCAGACTAGCACAATTGTCACAGGTCTTTTACGATTCATGCAGGCTTAAAGGACCACTATAGTGCCGGTAAAACATACTCGTTTTCCTGGCACTATAGTGCCCTGAGGGTGCCCCCACCCTCAGGGTCCCCTTCCCGCCCGGCTCTGGAAGGGGGAAAGGGGTTAAAACTTACCTTTTTCCAGCGCTGGGCGGGGAGCTCTCCTCCTCCGATTCTCCTCCGTTCGCCCCGCCCGCTTGAATGCTTACTTGGCCCGGAAAGGCTTCTTGTAGCGCATTCATACTCATAAAGCATTTACAATGCACCTCGGGCACTAGCGTGCTCTCACTGTGAAAATCACAGTGAGAAGCAGCAAGCGCCTCTAGTGGCTGTCAATGAGACAGCCACTAGAGGATTAGGAAGGCTTAACCCATTCATAAACATAGCAGTTTCTCTGAAACTGCTATGTTTATAAAAAAAAAATGGGTTAACCCTAGAAGGACCTGGCACCCAGACCACTTCATTAAGCTGAAGTAGTCTGGGTGCCTAGAGTTGTCCTTTAAAAGTAAGTATGTGTCTTGAGCCAGTCTGCCTTTACAAGCATTTAAAAATACAGCCTCAAAATATGATGACTAAACCCATCTTGGAGAAGGGTAACGGGGAGTAAACGTCCACCTCTAACACCAAACAACCAATAAGCAACTACACCCCTAGGACAGCTGGCTGACCACTCTCCCACGAAGCCAAATCAATAAAGTTAATGCCGAACGCGATCACCAAACGTAAAACATAGCCAGAAGAATCACACCTTGTAAAACACCTTACTTGTACCCAATACTGTACACATCTTGTTAACAGTATTTGTTATTGTCAACTTACTTATATATGTTATGTTATAACAACAAAATTTAAAAAGCTGAAGAATCTTTAAGCTAGCACACTAGGCTTCTGCAAAAGCCAACCAACGCAATGTTAATATATTGTATATTACCTGTCAGAAGAAAAATAAACAATTAAAAAAAAAAATACAGCCTCAAATATGATCACAGGAAAACTTAATTTCCTTGTACTGTTCTTGGTTGAATCGTAAATGTGATATTATTTTTCACCTATACCACAACCTTGTTATCATTTTGTTAGAAAATATCTCTGGGTGCCTTAATGCATTTTGCTATTGAAGAATTAAAGCAAACTCCAGACCTCTAAAGCAATTTAGCTTGCTGAAAAGATTTATCGGTGAAGAGTGAGTCCTATTTTTAATAGAAATTAACACTTTTATAAATTATACTGGTTACACCCCTCTGGCTTCTCCAGCAGACAACATGTTCTGTTACTTCCTGCTTTCGTTAGCTTTGTTGCACTGAACACAAGAGACAGCAATTGCAAAAAAAAAAGACTTCTCTTTGAACTGCATTGGGAAGTCTTTGATTGGACAGCCACAGAAAGTCTGGGCGGGGTTAGTAGGGGGAGGGCTTGCAAAGGCAGCCGACAAGAGATCTGCAGTTTTTGAAAGCCGTTTTTAGATATAACTCAAATAAAAAAATGCATAATTAAATGCATGCAAGTTTTCATTTGTGGTATGTCTACTAAACAGTGTTTTCAAAAAAAATAGGAGTGTCCTCCATCCTCAAAATTTTACTGTACTAGTTGAAACTTTTATCTTGCCACGACAAGCCTGAAGTGTCCGAAATACAGTCACTAGGGGGTGAATTTCTACTCACCAGGGCTAAATTTTCACTGGCCAATTGCTAGTGACAAGTTTGACATTTTAAATCCTGCCATATGAGTTGCTTGTGAATTGTGTAAATTGTTTGACAGAGCTTGTTCTGTGTGTTGATTTTGTTGAATGTAGAATGTTTGGTAGGTGGCGAGCAATGGGTGTTCCATGGTTGATGTTTTGAGTGTACCATGTCATATTGTTACGGTTCAGTTGATTTATTGGTACTAGGCAATACTTAATGCCCAAGTGAAGACTGGATCCAATATTTTTCTTGTGGTAAATAATTTCAGACCATCTTTCTCAAGCTTTAGCCTCAACTTCACAATTAAAATGGTTTGAGCCCGACACCTCAGACAATTTTGTTTTGCATTTAAATTTTCTATAGCGCATATTCTGCAGTGGTTTACAATTATAGAAAGTGGTTAATATAGTGCACTTAGTACGTGCTCAAATGCAATTAATATCTATGAGAATTTGAGGTAGGTGTCTTGCTCAAGTACTCTTACTGGTGAGGTGACTGTGACACTTACAGGATGACTGTCCTGTCAGATCCACTGAGTATGTGATTTGTCTTGCAGACCATTCCATGTCCCAGCCTATTATGGTACAGAGAAGACCTGGGCAAAGCTTTCATGGAAACCACGATGTAAACTCTGTCCTGTCCCCTCGCTCAGAAAGTGGAGGCCTTGGAGTGAGCATGGTAGAATATGTTTTGAGTTCCTCACCAGCTGACAAACTTGACCCACGATTCAGAAAAGGAGCTTATGTAAGTGACTTAAACAATCGGAATCCTAAATGGTGGTCCTGTTGTAGTTGTCGTGGAGATCTATATAATATGTGAAATAGAACAGACCTCATTATCTTAATGCCACCTAAATAACAGTGTTTTGAGTTGTTTTATTATTTATTTATTGCTCTTCTTTTATTATTAAATTTGTTTGCTATTATTTACATTATTTGCTTTAAGAAGACATAGACAATTCACTAAACTCTACATTTTTGCAAATTAAATCCAATTGAAAAAACGGAGACGAAAAAATATTCCAACTTTTTGCCTCAGTTTTTCCATTCAGATTTAAAATGGCTTTTTCGCCTCAAAATTACCTTTCTCCTAATGTTTCCTCTTCTCTTCCTCTTTTATAATCTTTTCTTCCTTTTTGATCTATTTCTCTTTAAAACATAAGACAGATTAAGGACTACTTTGTCT